AAACCTTTATTTGAAAGTAGCATGTTTAGGAAGTCCAGCATGTTTCTGGCTTGCATTAAGATTTTAGGCTGGTGCGGCTACTAAACTCAAATAACCCAAAAGTACTAAGTCCATTGTTGCGTTCTAACATCTGAACTGTACAAAGTGCTATAGATAATGTAGGAGGCATATATTAAATGTCACGCAAAGCCTCTGATCTTTTGGCTATCAGTTTTGACACAAACTCAGATGTCACATAGAAATTCGTTAAACCACTATTGGAAAAAGTTCCAGAATTTTAAAAAATTGCAGCTTTATATCAACCAAGATATGGCTAAATCCGAATTCAAATAATTAATGTATCCAAAATAGATATCCAAAATTCACTGCTTACAATTTTGCCCAATGCAATATAACTAGGCAAGTCCATACATGAAGGGGAGGTGATAGCCAGGTGGTATTATCGCTGGACTGTTAATCCAGAGACCCAGATAACATTCTGGGGGCCCATTCTGGGTTTGAATCCTGCGATGGCAGATGGTGGAATTTGAATTCAATAAAATATCTGGAATTAAGAATCTAATGATGACCGTAAATCCGTTGTCGATTGTTGGAAAAACCCATCTGGTTCACCAATGTCCTTTAGGGAAAGAAACTGCCATCCTTACCTGGTCTGACACACCTGTGACTCCAGAACCACAGCAATGTGGTTGACTCTGAATTGCCCTCTGGGCAATTAGGGATAAGCAATAAATGCTGCCTAGCCATCGACGCCCTCATCCCGTTAATGAATAAAGGAAAAAAAATGAAAAAATGCTTACTTTACCAAGGAATTACAGTTCAAAATAAAGTATTGAAACTTACAACTTGGAACATATTGCCTAGACTGGGGCACTAGCTGCTTCTTAATTTCATCGCAAGTTTTACAAGCTGATGCTTCATAACTTATTACAAGGCAGGTCATCCCCTCAAAACAAAAAGGAAAAAAAAAATCATATCCTCTGAACTTATCCAGTTTCTCTCAGATTAGAAAGATATCACAGATATGACACCCTAATAGCCAAAACAGGCATCCCATTCCAGAAAAAAATGACAACCAAGGGTTTAAAATCAAAACTGCTGGCTCAAGGGCTGTAACATAAATCAAAAGTAAAAGATTTCCCTGGAATCAAAAATCGATGAATTGTCATGAAAAGCAATTTGGACAACCAGAAGGAGACATGACAAACAATGGCCTAGGCAAATATATTTTCTTAATCAGTAGCAAGGACAGAGGAATTTCAACACAAAGCTGAGAAACAGGGCCCACAGATTTCTGAACCATTTCCTCAGTAAAAACAAAATTAATTATGCCTTCCTTTCAGTGTTTGCACAATAATTATCCACCCAAACATTTAAAATGTACATGTTTGATACCATGAATATAGATGGATGTTTGCCAAACCCATATTTTTGTTTAACTGTTTCTTCAGAATGAATGGAATGTTTATTATACACAAGTTATTGTCGAGCACGCTCAAACAGTCAAAAATGTTGATAATTACTACATTGAACATTGTAATTATTTTATGTCACATTGGAATAGTGTGTGTCTTTGAGAAAAAGTGTAAAATGGACAATACTGAATCAACAGCCCAACTTACACATTTCCTAATACATATTTCATTATCATAAAAAGAAGACTGCCAATTTGTTAATGCCCATTTACTTACTTATAAAGGGCACAATCTAAGCCATTGCTTTCAAAAGGTGTAGGAATTCTAAACGAAAGATGTACTTCCCCTTCTTCCACTTTTTCCACTCCCAACCCACCCCACCATTCAATTTTCTTTGTCATCTGATTGCACCAACTCCCTCTCATGCCTCATTGATGTGAAATTTTTTTTAAAATCAGGGAATTGGGTAGTAATTTTCTGCAGGAGAGGAAGGGAAGCAAGAGAAAAGCAAAAAGAGAGGTTTTTTTTGAAGGAAAAGAAGGATGCCATGAGGTAGAATGTAAGTTAAACAGTTACATTCATAAAGAGCTACATTTTCCCTTCAATTTTACTTCTTTGTAAAATTGTTTTTAACCGAGCAATATCTGGCCACCTGGTGCTTTCCTTAATCTCATGTTGATCTGAAGAACAATGTGGATAATGCTAATAGCATTGTGCACGATTGTCTACAGGCAGAGGACTGTTGCCCTAATCCTAAGCATAGAAAAAAACACACTGCAGCAAGTCGCTCATGGAAGGCAGCTAACAAATATAATAGTGAAGCTGTTAGGTGCATCCAGGATACCATCTGGAGAAAATTTGCAGCATTGTTCCAAGTTACCTACCAGATGCTTACAATAATTCTATTAATGTAGCTCTATTTGTTCCAAGGATATGAGCAGCACTGCCAAGACCATACTTAATGCCTCAAGAAGGTAATGAGGGACTTTTTCTTTCAATTACCCAGTCCTTAGTACTTTTGCTTTCATACTTGTCTTAGGTGCTAAATTCCAGAATGTTGGCCAAGTGACAATAGAGGAACAAGGTACATGTTACAAGTCAGGATGTTGTACTGGTGAGGAATATGGAGGTTATGGTCTTGTCTTTCTTCTTGGTACACTGGAGGAGATGCTGCTGAAATGCTTGGTGAATTGCTGCAACAAATCCTACAGATCATACATATACAAGCACAGTGCTTCAGTGATAGAAGGGATGGATCCTTTTGAATTTAAGTTAATTTTACAGTCCTGAAAGCTCTTAAGCACATCCACAAGGGCTGTGTTTCTGTGAGTGAAGCCAACAAGTTACCTTATCATGACAAAGGTATCGATAGACAACCATCTGTCCTATTTCAGATCATAAGAATTTATACATCATAAACAAACAACCTGTTTATTTATTTAAAAATACCTTCTGTGACTGTTTTCAGAAAGAAATACCTGTTGCTTTTGTGAACAAATCTGGATTTGATGGACAAAGGCAAGAGGAAGAAGGAGAGGTTAAACATGGCTGTCTCCTTTATTTATGTCTTTGTCATTTGATCATGTCCACAAGAATTGTAATACATTATCAAATAGGAGATTCCCATGATGGGGGAAGATGGTATTTCTTTCCTTGGTAATCCAGCCACTGAAAACACACAAGTCACATATATACCATTGGAATAAGCACCTCCTGGTTAAAGCAGATACCAGGTGACATTGCCAAACATCACATAAATTCCATTGTGTCCTTCACTGGACCAATATTCTGTAATTCAGGTAGGAAAGCAACATTACTATAAAGGACTCAGTAGTTAAAAGTATAAGCTCACCAATATCTCCAATGAAAGTAATGGTAGACTATAAATGTGGCTTTGCCAGTGCTATCCATACCATGGATTAATTTAATATAAGACTCACCCAACTCTGGCTAAATAATAACTTTCCTTCCTACATTAAAACACCAACTACTCAAAGTATTTCATGGTTTCTAATGTGAGCACTCAGTCACCCTGTGGGCATGAAATATAAATTTCAGTCTTTTCTTCTTGAAATCAGTTTCAACAGTTCCATTGCACGACTCACTACCGTGGGACAAGATTCAAAGGACAACAATTATATTAAATGCTTGGATAGGTCTCTTCAGTCATCATCAAAATTCCATATCCATAACTCCATACCCCATAAATTTGATGGCTGCATGCCCATCTTAAATAGATGTTATTTTAGTTCCAGAAGAAACACTTTTAAAACAATACAGGTAGTTCTGCTATAACACATGTTTCATTAATGTGAATTAGCTGTAACATGATTGATGAATAGTGGACGCTGTTTGGATAACATGAACTTTCTGCTGTACAGGATTTTCTATAGCAATTTCCCTATAACACAATTTTCTATGGCATGATTTTGTAAAGCGTGAGGTCACACAAGAATGCAACTATTGCATTATAGGAAAACTACTTGTATTCAAAAGTTAATTAATATGGTAATTTTAATCCTAATAATCCAATCTTTGTTTCCTTTTTTTCATTTTAATAAATCAAATTTATTAATTTGTATGGAGTTTTGTACTTGGCTGTGCTGTGTTCTCCGTCAGCTGGGGAGAGATCTGGAGCAGACAGTGTATAAAGCTGCATTGTCTGCATCACAGACATTGTGCTACAGGTTAGTAAGGCAATAAAAAAAGTAGCAGACCAACCACAGCTCTATTTCTAGAGGGACAGAATTGAAAAATAGGGCAGTCATGCAAAACCTGCACCAAAGCATTGTTAGAACACATTTAGAAACCTATATGCAGTTCAAATCATCATCTTATAAAAAGGATATACAGCTTGTGGAGAGGGTGCTGAGAAACGTATAAGGATGATGCTAAAAATGCATGAGTGTACATATTAGCAAAGGATCAACAACCTGGACCTATTTTCACTTGATAATAGCCCAAGAGGTGACATAATAGAGGTCTGTGAGATTCTGAAAAGCTTTGACACAGTGGATACAGAGGTATTGTTTCCTCTTGTGGGGAATAATGTGACTAGAGGTCACATCAGTATAAATCAGTCATAAAGAATCTACTATGATAGTCAGAAGGAACCTCATTATTCAAAGAGTGGTGACAACATGGAATTCACTATCACCGAGAGTGGTTAAAGTAAACAGTGAAGAAGCATTTAAGGGAAAGGTAGATAAACATAGAAAGGCAGAAGGGAATTGAGATTTGGATTTGGATTTGTAAAAAGGTAATAGGAAGCTTGAGTGGAACACAGACACTGGCATGGACTGGTTGAGCTGAATGGCGTGTGACTGTGTTCTTTTATCCTTTTTTAATTTGTAGTGACCCTATCACAATATTACTTGAGTACTGCAGCATAAAGTCAATTTTCAGTTTCAGTTCAGAAAACGCACAGCCTTCACGATAGAAGCCAACCTTTGTGTTGAAAGTTATTCAAAATAAAGTACTGGACAGGAGATGGAAATTTAACAATTACGTTCATATCAAAACTCAGAACATTGACTTCTATCTTCTTTCTTCACCATTATTCAGTGGTTCAAATCGAAAACCCACCTGCAGATTGAAGAATCTGCTGTACCGCCTGTAGATAACCTCTGTGGAACCATTGGACCATGTGACTTGAATAATGTAAACCTGAAAGAAAAGGAAACCTTATCAGGAAAAAGAATGATATCAATTTAAGATGATGTGATGTTAATATCCAGCATCATTTCATTGAGCCACACGCCAACTCTTTACAAATGTAACTGCAAACATTCAATTTCATTCATAGTGTTCATTCCCTGCAACGGTAGTAACTAGGTTACCTGCACTAGGCCTTTTACAATGATATTTGCTGGATGTTTGGGACCTTTGGCCCCCAAACCTCTAGATGCCAACAGCATGGTCTTCATAGCATCTCTCTCCTTGGTGGGCCAAGAACTGGAAATCAGAATGGGGCTGAGAATCCTCAAAACTGTGGCCCATAGTATCTGCAGGAGGATAGCAGAATCCTTTGGAATACATCAGTTCCTCACTTTCAACAGATTTTCATAACTGTTGAAGCTCTGATTTTGCTTTGGAAAAGGTGCAATCTTTGCCCACCTATTGCAGGATTCTCAACACTAGAGACTAAAGGACGTATATCACAATTTCAAAACCACTGGCTCAGTTGCTTCCAGTATTTTTCACAGAATGAGTTGAGATGTATTGATCTCCTGATGGATAAACATGGGATGCAAACCAAAGAAGATAGGCATCTCAGATCTAACACTAGATCTTAAGCCTTTGACATAAGACCTGCATATTAATAGTAGAGGTTTAGATTCCATGTAAAAATTCTGGGCTGGCATGGAGTGAGGGAATGGGGATGCAGTGCCTGGTGGTGGCAAGAGGGGAGGAAAGATAGATTCATGTTCAGTATTTATTCTACATTGCAACCAGTACAATTGAATCAGCAAACTCTGTCTTTTTAATGATGGACCAGATTAAGTTTATAGATCATCACAATAATTACTATTTTTAATAAAATTGGAGGAAAAAATCATTATAAAACGTATACATTCATTATTTTTATCCTGATGAAAATAGCCTAACATTACCTCTGCCACATGGATAAATAACAAGTTAAAAACAGTCTGCTATATTGAATTATTTAACCTTAAGCACATTTGTCCTACAACAAAGCAACATGATAATGGAAGCAAATACAGCGAAAAATTGTTGGCATGATTGGAGATGAGGAAATATATAAACTTGAGTAAATACAGTAAGCGGGTTTAGTGACACACGTGGTTCCTGAGATTGACTACGAACTTCCTGTTCCTGATCTACAAACAGCTCTGATGCATTTACAAGTATCAGGGATTGGTCATTTTTTTCCGTTATTCTTATTAGGTGTCCTAAAACATCTGTGGCACACATGTTGTGAATTGCAGACTGTTGAATACTTTGCAATATACCTCAGCAGGAAGCATTGTGAATTAAAGTACATGATTGCAAGGCAGAACAGATTGAGAATTTCATTGCTGAGGCTATATTAATAAATTAAAGAGTTAAAATTTAATTAATAATCAACTGTCTGTATTAGTGAATTATTATCTTTAATCCCGTGTGTTGTGATTTTATCAATCTCAATGGAACTGGCGAAACAGGATTGTCTCTGTCAAAAGACCTCAGCAGTCACTAAAACCAGAAAATATGAAGGAGTTTTAAAGCCACATCCTTTCAGGTTCCAGAAAAATGAAGTAATGACCCCTATGTTGTAATTAGGTGGTTGGGAGAAAAAACCCTGACAGATTCTATCAATAGCTCTCACTGAGTAATGGGGAACGTCTACTGGCTAGCAATCAACTTTCCACACTGTGACTAGATGATTATTTTAAGGGCCACAGAGTGGGAGAAAGAGGTTTTTTTTTAAAAAAAATGAGACCATCACACAAAAGAACATCCTGCCACATACAAAGACTGTTGACAAGGTACAAAACCCTCTGATTATTCAGGAGTCTGTATGGAGAGGAAATCAGGGCCACCCTGTACCTTCACTGAAAGTGAGAGAGACACTAGCACTGGAAACTGGGATATTTTAAGTTCGGGCCTAAACAGTTTTCGGATTTGTGGCATGTAGTTACTTCTGTGACTCATTTGATAGCACTCCGAGTCAAAAGGTTGTGGAGTTCAGACCCATTCAAGGACTTGGATACAAAATCAGTTCCAATACTTCAGCATTGGTCAGAGGTAACATTTCACAGAAACCCCCCCCACTCCCCCACCCCACCACCCTCTGCCCTTTCAGGTGGACGTATAAAGTTCCATGTTGCTGTGTCTGCGAAGATTTCTCCCAGTGTCCTGGCCAATATTCTTCCCTCAAATCAACAGCACTAAAAAAGCATCTGGAAAATACTGCTATTTTGGGATGTGTGTAAATTAGCTAGAGTGATGCCTAAATTACAGTAATAAACACACTTTAAAAGTATTTTACTGGCTGCAAAGGGCTTAGGCAGCCTAATATTGTGAAAGGTACTATATAAATGCAAGTGCTTTTTATTTGAAAATCAAGAGGAGCAGGCTCAACACTCTGTCAGGATTCAATATATCTCAAAGACAAGGGTCCCAAATTTACCCTCCAAAACATCAAGCACTCTCAAAACAGAACATCAAGATTCAAACTAAACCTCCCTCTACCTCCATTTTAAAAAATGTTGAACCTAGTTAAGGAAAAGTACCCAACAAGAATATCATAAATTTGTAATTATCCCACATCAGACATATCCTAGCTGGATTAAAATGGCCACACCTATTAATATGGGTTTAATCAAGTCAATCTCATTTCACCCAAGAACCTTATCCAACTGTGTTAGATTAAGTTCTGACCTGGAATTCAAAGGACACCCTGCAACACCCAGTCAATATTTACTAAGGAGTTTGATTGCATTGCATATTATGCAGATATAGTCTGAACTTTAGGATAGCCATTTGGTGAAAGGATCCCAGCAAACATGGTTGCCTATACTAAGCTGTTCTGTTTGGAATTCACGCTGTGAAAATGGCTCTCTCCTTGTCCATTCTAAAATTTCTTTCACGCAACAATTATTTCAAATTGGTGTATGCAACTTTTACTCTAAGTCCTTGATGTTATTTCGCAGATACCATATGAATGTAAAAAATGGTTTTAAAAGATGCTTCTGTTTTTAAAGAACTGGAAATATCATTCTCCAAAACACTGCATTCATATCTGATAGAAGTCAAAGTGCTTAAAATAAGGTTACTTTGTTGTCTTCTAAAGGCTGAGCACAAAATTGAATATATCTTTACAGAAATTGATATAACAACATCAGTTAGAGAAGAGACATTGATTGTTAACTGAGATAACAAGGTGTAGAGCTTTCTTCAGAAAGGGTCTAGGCCCGAAATGTCAGCCTTCCTGCTCCTCTGATGCTGCTTGGCCTGCTGTGTTCATCCAGCTCTACACCTTGTTATCTCAGATTCTCCAGCATCTGCAGTTCCTACTTTCTTTGATTGTTAACTGCAAACTTCCAAAAGTCGCTGTCTGAATTGTTCCTCACTACACAAAAACACTCCTATTACTGACACGAATTAATGACATGAAATGCTGCATTTGTGCAATAGATCGAAACTAAACTGCCCACAGAAAGTGAAGTCTTGCAGCAACATGTAGAAGTACCTTCTTAAACAACTTGGTAATTGTTCTGTTCTCCAAATCAACCAACTAATCATTACATTATTACAAGTGCGAAGCCTTCAGGTATTAATTGTTGGAGATTTTAAAAATGTCAATTTTATTAAGTACTTTTTCTTTGCCTTGGAGACACGAAGGATGGCAGATGCTGGAAGCTAGAATCAATAAATGTGAAGCTAGAAAAGCACAGTCGGTCAGACAGCATCCAAACAGCAAGAAAGTCAATGTTTTGGGCCAAAACCCTTTCGGTCCTGACGAAGGGTTTTGGCCAGAAACATTGACTTTCCTGCTCCTAGGATGCTGTCTGACTGACTGTGCTTTTCCAGCTCTACATTTATTGCCTTTTTCTTTGCCTCTTTAGGCATTCTTTCTTGTCTTCTATATCTCTTTCTGTAAAGGTTTTGACATTGAATTCACCCAGTCTAATTTAGACTTCCTTTGCAATCCTTGCACCATTTACTTCAAAACCCTTCAATCAAACTACTTATGGAGAAGCAGTGCTTATCTTGGTTTACTCAAGTTCCACATGCCCTGTTTTCCTACTGCACTGTTATCTAATTGCTCTTTCAGCAAAATCATTTAGAATTTGAACATGATTAGACAAATCTAACTGATGACAGAAGGCGTCAGATGTCCTACTGCAGCAAAGTGTGGGCCATTAACTTTCCAGGCATTTCAAACAACTTTACAGCTCCTTTAACATAATGAACCATCCTGGTGCTCGATTGTAAGACAAAGTATGGCACTGAGCCATACAAGAACAATTAGGTCAAATTACTAAAAGCTTTGTTAAAGGCATAGTTCTAATGAATATATGAAAAGAAGCAAGTGAGATCATGAGGTGGAGAGGAGTGAGAAGGGCTCAAAGCTTGAGGCCTAGACAACTGAAGGTACCACAATTAAAATCAGGGATTTACAGTGGTTAGAATTAGAGTACAGATATCTCAGAAAGTTGTGGAGCTAGAGGAGATAACAGAAATAAGACCATAGCCACAGGTGGAATTTCAAAACAAAGATGAGATTTGTGAAATCAATACACCGCTGGAGCAAAAATCAATGTAGGCCAGTAAGCTGCAATTTGCTAGAGAAACTGGGCTTGCTGTGAGTTTAGACAAGGATGGCAAAAAGTTTTGGATGGCCTCAAGAGTAGAGAGTAAAACGCTGGAAGTGCTTTGGAATTAATCAGGTTTAGAAGTTAAAGATACAATTGATGATTTTAGCAGCTCATGAGACAAGTGAGGGATAAAGTTAGAGAGATGGAAACAGGCTCTCTTATTGATGGCATGAATATTGAAATATTCACAACATTTTAATACTATCGAGGCAGAATTTACCAATAAATGACAAATGTAAAGAGAAGAAATTAACCAATGGCAAAGAACATATAATTTCATCAAATTTGTATAGAGACAGGCTCCATATATTTCTCCATTTCATTTTTTTCCCCCAAAATGCAGTGGCAGCTCTATGCACTTACTTCATATATTCTACATTCACCTCTACTCCGTGCACACTTACAAGGCAGAAACCAAAGCAGTAGGCATTAAAAATGCCCAAAGCATTCGGAGAATGAGCAGAAGTGTCATTTCATTTCCTGCACATAACCCTGAATCTTAACAGTTAACATTCATTTAGTATAAATATGGTTACTGTTCAGTTATCATAAAGTTTAAAGCAACATTACATTTATTGTCTCAACAAAATCAGTTTCACAAAAATGCCTACTGCAGAGTACAAATATCATCTTCATTCTAATAAATCCACTTCCTCAACCTACCACCATCTTGGACTTGGCAACCCCAGAAATTGTCAGAAACACTGGAGTGGCACAGTGGCTCAATAGTTAGCACATTCTCCCCGCATCTGTGGTGATGTCCTCCAGGGGCTCCAGTTTCCTCCCACAGTCTTAAGGTGTACAGGTTAGGTGGACTGGCCAGGCTAAATTGCCCATAGTGTCCAGGGATGTGTAGATTAGGTGGATTAGTCGTGGGATATGCAGGGTTACTCAGATTGGGTAGGGAGGTGGGTCTGGTTGGGACACTCCAAGGGTTGGTGTAGGCTCGATGGGCTGAATGGCCTGCATCCAAACTGTAGCGATTCTATGATTCTACTGTGGATACAAAACAAGGTCACAGACTGAAATTCTCCAGTGAGCAACTCACCTCCTGAGCATTTAAAGCCTGTGCACAATCTGCAAGGTTTAAGTCAGGAGTAAGATGGATGCCTACCACTAGCTTGGACAGATGTAATTCCAAGGAACTCAATATATCTGGCTGTTGGATTTGCATCCCATCTAGTACCTTCAACATGCACTCCTTCCACCACCTGCATACAGTAGCAGTGTGCACCAGTTACAAGATGCACTGAAACAACTTGCTAAACCTCCTTTGATAGCACCTCCCAACTAAAAATAACTGGCACCTAAAAGAACAAAGGGCACATGGGAACAGCACCAGCTACAAGCTCCCCTCCAAGTTGCTTACAATACTGACTTGGAACTTTTAATCCAGCTAGGATATATCTGAAATGGAATAATGACAACCTCATGATTTGCTCCTTCACTGGGCTGAGTCATTAATCTAGAATTTGATCCCTGGCAGCACTACAAGAATCCCTACACCAAATGGACTGCAACAGTTTAAAGAAGGGGTTCATCACCTTCTCAGGGGCTATAAGGGGTGAGTAAGAAATGTTAGCCTTGACAGCGATACTAACGTCACATGAATGTCAAACAAAAAACATGGATGATGAAAGGGACCCAAGCTCTGCGTCCATTTAAATGCTGCCGCTGACTCAGTCTGAGTCAGGAAGAGTGAAAAATAAGATGAGAGAATAAAATAGCAGCAAACATCAAACCTTCACTAGACCCCTAACCATGCTCCCCCCAAATACCAGCTTATTTTTCGCTTTATTACTTCAAACCAAACTCACCCCTGAAAAGGGGATAATGAAGGAGACTTTCATTTTAAGTCCAGGAGTGCAACTGGAGACCAACTCACTGAAACTAAACAGTGACACAATGCAGTCAGTTAAACCCAGAAAAGTATGATTACAATTTTGACCCAATTCCACATTAAACTAGATGCTTTAAATGAACACAGTGGGGGCCCTCTTATTGCACAGAAGTAGCGTCCCTACCCCTGAACCAAGATGCTTGTTTCAAGTCCCACCTGCTCCAAACGTGTGCAGTAACATCTCTGAACAGGTTGATTAGAAAAATAGGTGAAATAAAAAATAAATCGGGGCCCTCTTGGAGCACAACAGTAGTATCCCTACCCCTGGACCAGGAGACCCAGGTTCAAGTCCCACCTGGTTCAGAGGTGTGTAATAACATACCTGAACATGTTGATTAGAGAAATATGTTAAAAAAAAATGCAATGAGAGCCCTCTTGTGGTGTGGTAGTAGAATCCCTGTCCTTAGACCAGGAGACCCTGGTTTAAGTCCCATCTGCTCCAGAGGTGTATAACATCTCTGAACAGACTGTTTAGGGAAAAACAGGTTAAAAGAATACAATGGTCAGGAAACTACAAAATTCTCTTCCTCTATTAAATCAAATGGATAGGTTTGTTTTTCTTGAATCTGCCTGCATGCCTTAAAAGGACTGTGAAAGGTTTCTAGCAAGTTTTCATCCAGCTGCAAAGCACTGATGTGTCAGGTGCTGAGGGCCTTGATATCCTTATTTACCCAATAGAAAAAGTAGGTGATTGATGTAATTAAAGCTCAGATTGTTAAATTTGAAATGTAGCAACAATAACTGTGAATAAGATTTATACTCACATCTTCAAATGGAGAAAACCCTTCCAATACTTTTAAGAACCATGAACTATTTTCCACATAGTCAATCATTCAATTCCAACCAGCAGCTCATCAGAACATTGACAATCTCCAGCTCCCCAATAGAGTGAACTTTTGCACAGAAATTGCTGTATGAGTGCCTGCCAAGTTTTTACTGGCATGCTTGATCAAAAGAATCTGGAAATTTTGCTACCAAGAGGTAGGGAAAATGCTTACTTGGAGCCCCCAGTAAAAATTAATCAGTGTAATGCTCTGAAACAAGTGACTTAACTGAGGGTGAACTTAATCACATGGTAAAACAGAAATATTAATGCTGTTTTTTCAAAACATCTTAATTTTATAAGAAGCTCCTAAGTAGCAAACAATTGTCTTACCCATTTTATTCCCAGTTTGAATTGTTCGCCTGTGCTGAAATCCCCCACTTTGCCTGAGACATACAATTGGCCTCAGCTATCCAACAATCTGAAAAGACCGGGCAGGGGCCGTTTACAAATGAGGGGAGCATTGGCTCGCTCACATAGTGAAATATCCATCAACTCTCAATAACTGCTCATAAAAGAATGAACTACATGAAAGCTACCGATAACTGTGGAATGAATAATTACCATAACATGCTGCCGTCAGGACAAATGAGAAAATCAGGTAACGCTAACAATATATTTTAATGTAACTGGTTCATTCCCACGTGCGATTTATTTGTGAGGACATACCATGGATTCTACAAAAGGAGAGTCCCACACGTTTCACAAGATATTTTACATAGCTTTATTTTGTTTAAGCGATGAAAAGCTGATGTGACTTTAAAAACTCAGCGTTTGCAAAATACAACTAGTTGACTTGATCACCGGTTCTTGGTTAGACACTAGAACTGAGCTGATGGCTCAGGGAATGCAGCACTTCAAACAGTGAAATTAAACAGTAGGACCCATCCGGGATCATAATTAAAACCAAGTCCTGTTTTACGCTGGGTTGTACGTATCTATGTGCCTTATCTCAGTATCATCGAAGTTTGCGGTAAACTAACTGAAAAACTGCCAAGTGGCACATTTCCTTTCCATCCTGGCCGATGCTGCTGAAACGAAATGCTTCGCTTCTGAAAAGCTTCATTTGTTACAAGCCTCCCCTCCTCATCCAGCCACAGTTAATAGTTCGGAGTTTATCAAATCTGCACTTTAAAGTGACCTGGCCTGTAAAATTACCCCGGATCAAATTCGATTTTTGACTCTGTTCACCCAGATCGGAGCTGGATAGAAAGCTAATCAGATGATTATCATAATTACAAAAACCTAGAAACCGATCATTCCTTTTGAATTGAAAGTCAGTTCTGAATCACTATCAGTGTAATAGATGCAACGGAATCGGGAGACAGTCTGATGCTGAAAGCTATCCATAAGGTTAATCGTTAAACTCAAAACAAGTTGCATTGCCCAAAACTAACCAGAGTGCTCCACAACAATGTTCTCTTTACTCTTAAAAAGCACTGGAGACAGTTCGCTAAGTCGAGAAATTACAACCTCACGTACATAATGCTTATTCGGGATCCGTCTTTTCTGCACGTCCTGAACCTTCACGTCTACAATAGATGACCGAGGCATGATACGGCCCGATCCGATCCAAAACCCCGTACTGAAAAACCAGCTCCAGAATCTCTGCTGCACTCTCCGCAATCTCTGCTGCACTTCGGCGATTCCTCATCCGCCGGCCTCGCTCACTCACTGCTCCCGGTCCTTCTGCACTCTTCACTCTGCAGTGCCATCAGCCTCACTGTTTTGTTTCCACCCAGTCCGACTATAAGCTTTCCCAGAGAATTGTAGGCTAAAGAAAAACAGGCAGAGAATCCGCCCAACTACACGACACAAGTCCAGCCCATTTCTTCATCAAAGGATCGCGTTCCTCTCGGAGGCTGCCAGCTGTGGCTTGCTTCAATCTGATTACATTTCAGCAAAACAAAAAGGTCATTGACCTGAAACGTTTATTCTATTTCTCTCTTTCTCCGCAAATGCTCCCCTTCCAGTTTATATTTCAGATCATCAAAATTAGAATCTCTTGCTTTTGTTCGAAAATAAGTTTGCAGCATTTGAGAAAGACAGCGCCCTGACCTCTTCTATTGATAAGGCCGATGGCACTAACTGCAGTAATAAAACATTTTCACTGGTGGCGGGATGAGTATGGACACCTTTAGAGTCAAGTTCTAAATGTGTTACTGAGAACTTCTACTTCACAACAATGCAAAAACAAAATAACTGCAGAGTCAGCCATTTAAGTAAACTCGAAGCTAATCTTAACCTTAGGAAATAGAAGCAGTGGTACGTCATTGGGCCCATTGAGCCTGCTCTGCCACAAAACCAGAAATTACTGGAGAAGCTCAGGTCTACTTGTATCTGTAGGGAGAAAACAGAGATAACATTTGGAGTTCAGTGAGCTTTCTTCAGCCTTTTGGTTACCATCATGGCTACTTCACCTCAACATAACCTTTTAGCCCTTTGTAGACCAAAAACCTGTATAAATCAGCCTTGAACATACTCAGTGACTCAGGTGAGACGATGACCTAGCCATATTATTGCTGGACAATTAATCCAGAGACCTAGGCTAATGTTCCGAGGACCTGGGTTTGAATCTGCATTGGCAAATAGTGGAATTTGACTTCGTTTTTAAAAACACAGGAATTGAGAATCTAACGACAATCATGAAACCATTGTTGATTGTCAGAAAAAAGAGGTTCACTAATGTCCTTTAGGGAGGGCTGTTGCTGTCCATACCTGGCCTGGCCTACATGTGACTCCAGAACCACAGCAATGTGGTTGATTCTTAACTGACCTCTGGGCAACTAGGGATGGACAACGAATGCTGGCCTAACCAGCAAGGCCCCCATCCAATGAATGAATTTTTTAAAAGCCATTAATGCCCTTTGGGGAACAGAATTCCTAACACTAATACATCTCAAAGCAGATAGTAAGAACTGTAAATGCTGGAGTCAGTGTGGAGCTACAGGAACATAGCAGGCCGGGCAGCATCAAAGGAGCAGGAAAGTTAACATTTAGGGTCAGGACCCTTCTTCAGAAATGGGGAGGGGGAAGGGAGCTCAAATAAATAGAGAGGAGGGGTGGGGCTGGGGAAGGTAGGTGGGATGGTAATAGGTGAGTGCAGGTAGGCAGTGGTGGGATTGGTCAGTGAGGTGTGGGAGGGGCGGATAGGTGGGAGAGAAGATGGATAGGTTGTGTCAGGTCAAAGAGGCAGGGATGAGGCTGGGGGTGGGGACATTTTGAAACTGGTGAAATCCACATTTAGGCCATTGGGCTGTAGGTTCCCGAGGCGGAATATGAGGTGCTGCTCCCCCAGTTTGCAGGTGGCATCATTGTGACACATTGTGACCTGAAGGTGTTGTCATTTGTGGTGAACAGAGAGCAGATGCTCTACAAAACAGTCTCCAAGCCTCCGCATAGTCTCATTGATGTAGAGGCCACATCTGGAGCAGTGGATGCAATAGACCAAGTTGATGGATGTGCAGGTAAACCCCTGTCTAATGTGGAGGGTTTCTTTTGTGCCTTGAATGGAGGTGAGGGGGGAGGTGTAGGGACAGGTGTAGCACTTCCTGCAGTTGCAGGGAAAGGTGCCGGGGGTGGTGGGGTTAATGGGGAGCATGGAGCGGATGAGGGAGTCACGGAGAGCACGGTCCCTACGAAAGGCAGATGGGGTGGGGAAGGAAATATATCCTTGGTTGTGGGGTCGGATTGTAGGTAGTGGAGAATGATACGTTGGATGTGGAGGTTGGTGGGGTGATATGTGCGGACAAGGAGGATTGTATCTTTATTTTCGTTGGGTGAAGGGGATGTGAGGATACCTCAGAGGAGATATTCCTCCCAATCTCTGTATTAAATAGGGGATCCTTATTTTGTAAGTCTGGGTCCCTGAGCTCTAAACTTCACCATGAGGGGAAACATCCTCCCAGTATTTACGCTGCAAAGGTCCCTCAGGATTTTATGTTCTAATCAGATCATCTGTCATTTTGCTAGATGCCAATGAATATAGGTCCAACCTGTTCCTCATAGGATAACTACTTTTTCTTAGGAATTACCTTAATACATCTCTCACCTGTCTCCAACGCAAGCATATTTCTCCTTAAATAAGGAGACCAAAACTGTACACATTACTCATTAGGCCTCATGGATATTCTGTACAGTTGTAACAAGACTTTTATGTTCCATATCCCTTGTAATAAAAGTCAAAAACAAATAGCAATGCCAGAGTTCTGGACATAGCATGAATACAAGTGAGAAACTCACTTTTTCATTATTCCATATGACAAATCTAAAGAAACCAAAATATCATCAACCACAAGGTTATCTCTACTAAATAAAGCATTGTCAAGATGCACTACAGTTAATCAGATCATGTTGTTACTTTTGATTGCAAATTCAATGGCTCCCATTTCCAAGTACATATAAATATCAGGAATAGGATTAGGTATTGTGACATACACTCTCCCATATTTGGTTAACCTGGCAGTGCTCATTATCTAGGATCGTATTTGAAGAAGGATCATTTGGATAACAATGCAATTATTGGTAGCATATAATCAGCGACTGGAACATGGTATTATAAGTGTAGATGAGCTCAAGTCTTTACCTCCCACTAGCTGACTTTCATAGGTCTTGAGGACATGAATCACAAACAATAAGCCTTTTTGATAACAGTGTACAGATACCACAAAAAAGAATTTGTATTTTATTCTCCTCCCAGAGCAGCAGTAGATACATATGGATACTTTAATTTTGCAGCACAGTAACTAACAGGAAACGCATGGCTTGTCTGTTTTGGCTGTTTTCCATATTACAAATATCCACAGTATGGCAACCAACGCATTAATTGGACCACTGACATTACAGATCGAAAATATGTCAAATTAAGATAACTGATCCCTACATTTACACTTTATTCAGAGACTGTGTTCTGGAATGGGTACCAAAGCCTCTCTTGTTCAACACATAGTTTAAAAGTAAGAGACAAGAAGGGATCAACTGGACAGTACAGTATACCAGCTCCGCAACAGTGCCCACACTGCTATGAGTCATTACTTTCAAGAGAATTTCTTGATGGGTGGGGGTAAAGATAGGGTTAGCAATATGCATTCATACAGGACATTTAATGTAGAAAAATATCACAAGCACTTCACAGAGGCAGAACAACAAAAGAGCAATTCTATAAAAAGGTTATCAGAAGCTTGGACAAAGAGATACGTTTTAAAAAGAGTATTATGTAGTTTATGGAGGAGAATCAGAAAGATTTAGGGTAGGCAATGCAGAGCATAGGAACAAGACAGGTGAAGACATCTCCACCACTAAGTGAAGTAAATGGGAATACATAAGATTCAACAGTGTCAGGGAGTGCTAAGCTGTTGTTGAGTTGTAGACCTGGAAAAGACTGCTAAGGTGGCAGTGCAGAGTAGACAATGGGGAAGGCTGATGCTTTGAAAGGACTTTGACACAAAGAACTTTAAATTTCAGGTGTTGTGGAAGCAAAACCATTAAGATTTGTCTAACAAATTGTCACATGTACAATGGGCTAAATGTTCATCCATGTGATAAACTTACAAATTTGGTTCACGTATGATATGAACACTGATTTAAGGTTCTTGAGTAGATTTGTAGCTTGGGTCGTGGATGCTGTGGTTGGTTCGCTTGCCAATCTGGTTCATTTGCAGACATTTCATTACCCTGCTGGGTAACATCATCTTGTATATTACATTGGTTCTGTCCTTAGTGGATAAGGGCTCTTTGGTTCTTGTTAGCAGTTGATGTAGGTTTCTGTGCTACTCTGATGCCCAGTGGCTGTAGGAGTCTTGTGGTCAATTCAGATACATTCTTGATGTACGGTAACGTGACAAGTGTGTCAGGACGTACTGTATCTTTCTGTTGTTGTTTGTGTGACAGGCATCATCAGACCTAGCTGTTCGGGTATCCATTGTCTCTAAATACTTGGTGGAGGTATTCTTCTTCATTTTGGCATAGTTCTGGGTTGCTGCAGTGTGTTGTGGCTCATTTGAACAGTGTTTTTACGCAACTCCATTTGTTTGAACCAAAGACCCCTTACCCACTATGGACAGAACCAATGTAATATACAAGATTCCATGCAAGGACTGTGACAAGCATTATATTGGACAGACAGGAAGGAAACTGGCTACGAGAATACATGAACACTAACTAGCAACAAAAAGACACGACCAATACACACTCGTCTCCATACACACAGACAAGGAGAAGCACCAGTTCAATCGGTCAGGATCGTAGGACAAGCCAAACAGAGACAAGCACGTGAATTTCTAGAGGCTTCATTCTCCATCAAGAAGGCCATCAATAAACATGTAGAATTAGACCCTATAAACACACCACTGTAAAAAAGAAAACAGGAAATAAGGTAATCAACTCCAAAAGACCCCAGAGTTTAAATAACAAGGGAAAATGCAACAATGGTTCATCGGATGCTGTACTGATGATGTTACACAGCGGGGTAATGAAATGTCTGCAAACTAATGAACCAGCTCGGTGAGCAAACCAACCACAGCATGAACACTGATTTCTCCAGCAAACCAATGTGGTAAAACTGTAATACAATACATTCTGCACAGAAGATTTTTGAAAACTGAACTAATATGCGTCAGAGACCCTCCTAGATGTATAAAATGACGCAAGCAACAAAACAAAGATGTGGGTGGCTCATCCTGAAATATTATGCACAACAGGCTGGTATGAGATCACAAACTCTCTTTATTGAGGTAAATACATCATTAATGATCGCCATATACAGGCACAATGATTGATTGATATCCTTCCATCTACACGAAATGATAAGAATCTAGCCTTGGGTCTTTAGGGGGGCCATATGAGATTATCTGTT